CCCCCCATAGAACCGCCCCTGGAGATCAGATCTGGGAGCTGTAGCTGTGCTGTTAGGAGACTAGAGTGTTTTGTTATTGTGCAGGTTAGTGATGTGTGACATACTCCACCTCCCATCAATCTACTCACCCCCTCTGCTTCTCTCTCTCTCGCTCCCCCACCTTTCACTGTGTTGCTCTCTCTGCCAGCTCAGTGGTATCGAGTCACACAGAAATATCGCCTAATACAGGAAATTGAGAGATTGGGCTTTTTCAAAATAAAAGACTCCCTTACCAGATGACATTTAACCAACTACTACTCTGACAACATGGCAGGTCGGCTGTATCTTCTGCTGCTGTGGGGAAAGATTAGAAGAATAAGAATAATACGACGTAGAAGTCGACAGTAAACATTTAGGATTTGAAAGACTGCTTGCAGCCTTAAAACCATAGCTTAAAACCAATTAGCCACAGAAGCTGAAAAGGATCCAAACAAACCCGACAAAAATTAAAAAGTTTCTTTCTTATAATTATTTTCGATTCAGAAAACTTGTTTCAGTTTCTCCAAAGGGAGGAAGGAGGAAACCTAATGGAAGGGGGCAATACATTGACTATAAGTTCAACATGAATGATACAAAATTAATATATGTGTGTTAAATACTCACTATTAGGGAGTTATATATCCGGTGTACATTCGAAATTATGTTTTACTTGAAAATTATAATTTATATTCAAAAATAAACTATGACTTTGCTGGGGTTTTTGGGAAGTTGTTAAAAACTACAAAATGAAATAATTACAATTAATTAAATCAATTTATCTGAAATAATGTAATCAAATTGAAGTATTGACCAGGCTTTTATTTGAGGGAAAACTACTTAATATAGTAATTTGATTTATGGGTCAAATACATTATGTAATTTGTGGGACATGATGCAAATAGATACATCACATTTTAAAATAAGATCCCAAATTGGATATTAAAAAGTTAAATTAAAGTGACTAATTAATGATTAGATAATTATTAGAGCAGCATTATGTGCATCATTTAACAATATTTATTGACAATATTTAACTATACACCCGACGACGACCCACTTGAGAAGTTTGAACTTTTTATGTTTGTGTAAAAAGCTAATATTCAAATAGCACTATTTTATTTTGAAGGTTGTGATCGGAAGCCCTGCCTGAGATACTGTCTGGTTTGACACCCGCTGCTCAGTGTGTGTGTGTGTTTTGTGTTGTGAGTGTGTGTACTCGGCTTCCTGCTGCTGCTCTGTGTCCGCACACCGTCCGTCTCTTCAGTGTAGATCGGCTCGCCATGGCGGAAGGACGCAGAGAACAGCCGCCCCATCCTCTCCTCTCCTTACCACCGGCCAGCAAGCGACCCTGCCTGCGCCCTGCTCCCCGAGGTCCCGGTCCGGGGCCTGGGCACGGCAGCGGGTGGCCCAGCTCCCGGCTTCGTTCCCCGGAGTCTCTTCTGGACTGCGCGGCGAAGGCAGTAGCGGAAAAGTGGGCCTTCGAGAGAGTAGAGGAGCGCTTCGAGCGGATCCCGGAGCCCGTCCAGCGCCGCATCGTCTACTGGTCTTTTCCCCGTAACGAAAAGGAGATATGCATGTACTCTTCGTTTCAGTGCCGAGTAGCCGGCGAGGAGGGTCCGTCGGCGGCTACCGGCGGGGCTGGGGGTGCAGGGTCCGGAGCTACAACCGCCGGCGGTGGCGGAGGATCTACCGGTACGACGGCTACCGTGGGGGCAGCCGGAGCTGTGGGAACGGGAGACGGGCTGCCTTTCCGCCGGGGTATCAGGCTACTAGAGACAGGCTGTGTGGAAAACGTTTTACAAGTCGGTAAGTGGGAAATATCGCTATAACCGAGGCAAAGCTTTTTTGGCTCAAACATTGTGGACCTTTTCCAAGTATCTGCTGCTGGATCTTTACTGGGGATGATTGATGGAAGTTTGCCCTGGTGGGAAGTATGCAAAGCGTCTATTTCCTCGCATATATAGCCAACCATGGGTCTATGTGTTGGTTTATAATTTAGAAGGCATACCAGGTAACATTTATTGTCAAATGTTGAGCTTTTATCGTCTTTTCCATGAAAGGGGAAGCTATGATACGGTCGCTGCTAGCTTAGCCGACCAGCTGCTGTTAAAAAATTAAAGGGCTTCCTATCGTGGCTTCTCATTACTGTGGCGCTGCGTCTTTGCCCAGTTTTGCTTTCACGTTGAAACCTTGTTTTGCTGTGTGTTAGGGGTTTCAAACAAATTCAGCCATGTTTCGGGAATTATATGCACACTTTTCTCCCTCTCTGGGTCTCCTCGTCGACGGTCGGGGCTGACTGGAGCCGTCCGTAACCCCGGACCGGGGGAGTCGCGGAGGAGGAGGGCTGACAGACGCGGATACAAAAGCGTTTTAGCGTCGGGGCTTTATTTTTGTTCGCGCGAACTCCTCTTTGCAAAAGTCGTTTTTTTTCTCAACCCGCCTTCGGTTGAGGGTGGCTTAGGCAAGGAACAAAGGCTGTTATTGGGTCTCTTATTATGATTAATCCAACGTTAATCCGAAAGAATCCCCCCACAGCTTTTTTTTGTTTATTTGCCGCTGCTGTTCGGACCGGACAAAGAGCACATTCGCCACCAACGTGGAAAATACATGCTGGGAGTGTTTGTTTTGTTTTTAATATTAAAGTTAACCCCTAAGTAACGTGTGCAACGTCAAGCTGCCTTTTATTAGTACGTTTGCCCGCAGCCTCTGTAGCTTGCTACACAAAAGGCTTCCAGTTGAAATGATCGATAAGCGTCTCGCATTTCCTGCGCTGCAGAGAGGCTGTTTCCAAACAAAGGGCCATTCCGCAAAGCTCCATCTCCACTCACACTCTCATTAGCTTCATACCCCCGGCTACACAGCCACAAAACGAGCTCAGACAACAGGGAAATTGATGAGATGTAACCTATAGATTGTAAAAAGACAAACAGCCTTTTATGGATACCAGGAGGATTTTTCTTTGACCATATGGTGTGAGAGCCACTAGAGCCTGTCTGGGGTTTCATGTTGCTGCTCCAAGGTATCTGGGGAGAGAGCTTCAAACTGTGGCTGCTGCTTTTCTCTCTCACTGCTATATCTAATTGCATCTTATAAATGCTCATCGATTGCACCCCATAATTAAATGAAATTGAAGAATTGTGAATATGAAAGTCAGATTTGCTCTCAGTTAGATTAGTTGATAAGTTTTGAGAGTCTGAGAGAGTGTGAGTTGACATTAGTTATTGGAGCCAGATTTTATCTGGCTTTAGTTCTGTTGATTGCCTCAAGGCTTGTATGCCTGGATTGTTTGTTAACCATAACTTTGTTGAAGGTTGCTCAAGCAAGTTTGAAGTGATGACCTACTTTTAAAACTTCCTGTCATTACTAACACACCAACCTGGTATTTGTACATAGGTGAAGCAGAACTAAAGGATTAATAAGGGTGTGCTCGTGTAAAGAATTTCATATAAAAATAACATTTGTAGCAAATAATGGCAAAATGTCACTTTTAAAAACCATTTTAAACTTTGAAATGTTTTTGGTTTAAATGCAAACTTTCAAAACAAGTTGTGCACCCTTAAGCAAACACTCCCACTCTTACCTGCCTCACCGGCAAATCGCGACAATCTCCCTCAAGGTCAGTCATAACAGGCAGGCACATGGTTTTGTCTTTCTGTCAACAAAACATAGAACAGGTTAAATAGCTGTGAGACATCAAGATAAGATTTGGCTTGTTCTTCACTCTGCACACCATGGGAACCAGTCACTGGTGGAAGGTTTACTGACTGACTTAACAAGCAGAACAATTGTTTTGTTCACAGCTGGATTTAGAGAGGTTGGGCAACAGAGCATGCTCACCTCACACACAATGCACTCATTAAGTGTTGTGTTACACACCTGTAATAGACAGTCTTAAGATGGCTTTTCCCTGACATGGCATAATATAATCGCCACTTAAAATAGTGGCTGTACTTGTTTTTTGAAAAGTGAGATGGACGTGCCTCATGTACTCTGTAATAGGAACTTACTGGGGAGTGATTAGGAATGAGACAAGGCAGCGTGCTGACACATGAATGTGGATGGTGCATGGTTTAAAATAGGGCATCTCCGGAAACTGTAGTCCGGAAAAAGGGTATTGAACTTTTCAGCCACATGATATGCATGTTAACTGGATAGATTGAGCCGTAAACTACATTCGTGGGAATATATCAATTCATTTTTGATTCCTGGGGTCACGATTCAAAATCAACTCTCTTTTAAAAATAATTTTAGATCCAGGGATCTAAGATCGTAAGATCACAAAGTGTTTATAGGATTATGAAGGATTTATAGCTATTTGAAAAAGTGATAACAGTAGTTTGCTATTTATTTAAACACTCAAAGACAAACTAAAGGCCGAAAAGCTTAAATGTATTTATGTTAAAGTTCACAAATGAACACTTTTTACCCAAAAGTTGCTTTCAAGGACATCAACTATAACAACTTAAAGTTATACATAAAGAAATAGCTGCCGGTTACATAAATAAAATGATATCAGTCCCAAGATGAGGTGGGTGATGCAGCTCTCTCGTCTGTGTTTGTGACTTAAGGCGAGCTAAAACTGCTGTTTACCACTCGCTTCCGCAATATTTAAGGACATCCACCAAGAACACATACAGAAACACTGAAGCAATGAGCCCACAAGCTACGCTATCATTAGATATATTTTATTATTCCTCATAGTTATCACTAGCAGAGCAGGAGATCTTATTTCTATGACTTCATCGTCGTCTTTAGACTTGCTTTTGTCCCCGTTGCTTCAAATCGGTGTGCCTTAGAGCCTAGTATGGAATTGCGCTTGTTTTTTCAGGTAATTACTAATGAGATCTGGTGTTAGAGACGGGGGAGGGGGTCTGTGATCTGCCTTTCTACTGTGCAGGACTTCAAGGTCCGGGTCACAGAAAGTTTAAGACCAGACTAGGAGCGTGTGAGAGGAGCAGCACTATTGGCCCAATACAAGTATAAGCCAAACTAAATCTAATTGAAATAATAAGACCAGAGATGCTTGTTTGCTGCTGGCTTGAAAGTCTTTCAAGAAAGAAAAAAAAAAACCTTGAAAAAGCAGATTATAATGAAATTGTTTTGGGTTATTTCTATAGGAATTGATGATGTTTAGCAGAGAAGACTCTGTGTACGCATCAACGATTAAATAATGAGTACTGGTACGTCCCGTAGATGCCCTTCACCCCGTACATTAGAGGCCTTTGTCTGTCAGCCTCTTTTAACCATAATACTGACGGATTGAAGAGACGTGAGCTCATCAGCAACTCATCGGCCCATGTGTTCATAATAATCTACTCCTCGCTCCAAGTCATAATTAGAATAATCAAAGCTAAGCGTGCTTGTGTTTGTAAACCCCCCCTTATTCGCGGCACATACACACACATGTGCGCCCAGGAGCCCCCTTGCCAGAGCCTTATAAAGTCCTCAGAGAGCGGGAGGAAGGGATATTAGAGGAGGGAGGGGGGGGGGGGTTTCTTAAGCTTTGAGTCAAGATTTGGGATTATTGGGTCATGCTTTGTTACCCAGCTGTAGAAAAACCCCTTGTTCACAGAAAGGGGGGGCTAGGGAAGGGGGTCTGTCTGTCTGTGTATGTGTGTGTGCACGTCCCTGTCTACGCAACGTTACATAAAGCTGTAATGGGTCCCTGACGCCTTTTGAAGCACCGGTGACTCTGACAAAGCGAGGCAGCAAAATTGAACAGGATTAAACTGTATGGGAGAGTCAGTCAGTGGGCTGGAAACACTGGGGGGCTTCTTAACTGCAAATATGTTAGGTCCTGAAATGTCTAAAAGCTCCTAAAAATGGTGGAATTTACACAATATGTGGTCAGTTTCACACCTGTAATTAACTTAATCCTTGGCTATGCAGTATTGGATAACATTCACAAAAGATTTGCCAACTTTAGATTTGATTCAATCGAAGCTCCTGTACATCTGTAGCTAGCATTCGATCAAATAGGCTTCCTTTAAATGCAATGAAGGGTTTTTCCAAAACAACATATTTCTCAATCAGGACCAGGAAAGAGTCATTTGCACAGATTGCACTAGTATCATCTTTTAAGCAACTGCCGTAATATGAAGTTTCACTTCATCTACAGTGCGAAAAATAGATAAACATGTATAAAAGTGGCAAATGATTTCCCCTGTGAAGGAATTTGAAAGAGTCCAACCAAACCATTTGATGTAATGTTTACTAGGATCCAGTTCACATCTCCTTACAGGGAAAATAAAAGTATATTGCATTGTATTTGCAACTATCGGTCATTTCCTTATCAATCATTCTGTTGATTAACCTTTTGATTATTCACCTTGAATTAAGTTTTTGCAATTATGTAAAACTGAGAAAAGCAACACATTCAAAAAGCTAAAAACAGTGAATGCTTGGCAATGATGATACATACATGAAATGATTAATTAAGTAGCAAAATTGTGGGCAATATTTAATTTGAGCAGTACATATACTACAGACACCATTCTGGCACATCTTGGGGAATGCATACGTAAGTTTTTCTGATGAACCCAACATTCCAAAATTGAAGTGTGTAAAAGAGCAACTGTTGATTGTATTGTATCACTTCTAAACATTTAGAATAGATTTCTTGAGTTTCTGCTTGTTATCAGTGTATTAAGTCAGTTTCAGTTCATGTATGGTTTTCAGTTTTCAGTGTGTGGAGGGAGGTGTTGGTGGTTGTTCTTGCCAGTAATTCCTCAGATGTAATTTGCTGGCAGAATGGCCAGCTCAAAATCTGTTGAGCCTCTGGTGTAAATCTGCTCTTTGGTTGCTCA